ACTAAGCCCTCTTACTGATTTTCATGTAGGTGGTTCACAGAACACTGTAGGAGAAGCTAGCCTAAAGAAACCTATAACCGATAACTGTGGTTGTCTCGCTAACGTCCATTTTATCCCGCTCCCGGCCCATGCACGAAGAAGGGAAGTTGTGTTTGGTATCCACCCTTCTCTGCTCCTCCACAAGCTCCAGGAGAGGCGGGCCACCCACCCACAGGGAGGGCCTGATTGGTCTATGGCAATCACGGTTTTCCTTCCCCCTTTTCAGGGATTGGCTTAGACATGGCCACGTGATACAGTTCTGACCAATGAAACTGAGGAGCAGGCGGCCGGAGGCTTCTGGGAAAGATTTTCTTGCTCCTAATACAAGACTCAGTGGGGAAGATGGTCTTTTATTTATTTATTTTTTCCCTTGGACGTGGCTGTATCCAGGTGTGGAGGCTGGCACTGGGATAGCCGCCTTGTGACAATGAGAGGGGGACTAGCACAAGGGTGAGGCCTGCCCACCAGGGTGACAGAGCGGCCAGATGTCATTGAGTCACAGAATTACCCTGGAGCTGTCCTATCCTTGGACTTTCAGGTATTTCCTTGTTGTTCAGCCGGAGAAGTTTCAGGTTCTTGTATGTTTCCCGCTAAAAACATTCTGACAGGTCCCGAATTCGTATGTGCACTTTTGATTCAGGGTTTAAGCTTTCTGTAACCTACTACTGAAGAATTGTAACATAGCGTCTTCGTGGGCTCCCTGGAAGCAGGTTCTGAGATACGAGTTCGAGCGTACGTGATTTATGGAGGTTGTGATCTCAGGACAAGCCCGTAGAAGAGGAGGGAGTGAGCGAGGATAAAAAGGGAAGAGACAAGCAGTCTCAGGCAAAGTCTATCCTCAGCCTGATCCATGGGAGGTCCTGGATCTGCACAGTCTTATATGGTAACTACCACCTACATGCAGCTATTTACATTTACATTAATCAAAAGGAATTAAAATTTAAAATTCAGTTTCTTCGTCTCCTGTCAAGTGCTCAGTTAGCCACATGGGAGCCGGTGGCTCCCATACTGAACAGAGCAGACAGAAGCGTTTCCATCATCACAGAAAATTCTACCGGACAGCTCTGTGGAGTGTAAATGATAACACACAGTTGCCCCACCCTGATGCTCTTGCACTGCAGTGTTGGTCAGTCTTTGCTGCCCTGCGGGGAGTGGTGAGGTAACCCCTCCAGGGAGATCCAAGGAGGTGGCTCCTGTCAGCCAAGGGCAGTACCTCAGAACGGAGCACGGAAGGTCGCAGCACCCACAGCCGCTCCAGATTGGCCATTAGGTAAAGGGACCTAGGTGAAATACCAATAATGACTACCGCCGTGGTGTCAAGCAAGCATGAGCTGGGATGCAATACTTGTGGCAGAGTGATTAGGCTAATCCAGAATCTGGGAATTCACCATCTCCTGGGATTACTCCTAGGGAGCACCTTTGGTCCATAGCCACCCCTGGGTCAGATGTGTACCAACTCCAGAGATACTCAGATTTCAGGGGAGACAATGGGGGCTCAGAGAGCAGCCTCTAAGGGAGAAAGGCACATGGCCCAGTGAGTAAGACCTACAAAAAGCGCCCGAGTGTCAAAGAGGGGTGGTGACTCTGCACAGAACCTGGAGCTGCTGCCACATCTAGCCCCTGTGCCCTACTAGAAAGAACATGAGGGTATAAATTCTTATTAAGTGCTCATTATGCTTCCATAACACGTTGTCCTATGTTTTACATCTGTCTACTCTTTGTTTACCTCTTCCTATGACACCATTTTTGTAATGCCATCTTCCATAAAGAGAATAGCAGATAATTCAGTCTTTTATCTTGCATGGTTTATCAACATGTTTTATTATTGCTGCTTTAGAAACATTTCTTTTAGCTCCACAGTTTGTTAGGGAAAGTGACACATCCGTACCTTCCTCCTCGGTTCCTTGATCAGGAGTTAATTCCTCTCAAGGGGAAAGTCCTCAGGTAACACAAGCCTGTGATTTCACTCTTCCTTGACCTCCCAAAAGCTGCTGCCAGAGTGGCCGGTCTAGCTCAGATCAGGTCCTCACTGCCCTGAGCACCTGTTCCATCACTGGTTTGGTCCCTGAAAGCAGGGTGGTGGTGGTGGAGCAGGGGGAGATAGCGTGAGCCTAAGTCATAGTCACCCCTGAGCAGGAAGCAAAGGAGCTTCTCATTCCAGATTCTTCTCCTTGGGTCAAAGATAGAACCCAGAGACTAAGTGACCGTAGTGGTGTTCTATTCACCTTTCCTCAGTGCACAACAGCCCAACTTCCAACTGTGGGCACCTGTAACTTTGTCTGAGGGCTGTACTCTGGCCACGGAAGGCCATTTTGCTCACCTGTGTGGTAGGCCGCAGGTGTCCAGAAAGTGCTGTCCTTCCCCTCACCTGAACCCTACTCCCCACTAGTCTTCAACCAATGATTAATGGAAGTTAGTGTATAAATACCAAAGATCCTCATCCCTTGGATAGGATACTTGAGTGTGAATCTACATGGGCTCTGAGTGCCCCATCATGATTGAGCTCTAGTCGTCCTCATGGTAACTGGCTTGATAATGTCTGAGCTCCCTTTATTTGACTGCCTTTCCCATACTGTCTCACTTCCCCTCTTACTGGTGGTTTTTGTTTTTTTGGCTCCTAAATGAACTACTTGTATTTGAGTCATTGTCTCAGCATCTGCTCCCGGGGAAACCCAATGAATATCCTAGGTAAAGTCCACTAGGCCAGTTGTCACTGGAGACTGCTGCCCAACCTGAGCCCTAGGACCATCATCAGGGCACAGGGGCTGAAGGGGAATGCCTTGTCTCCCCCTCTGCTGAATAGTTAGTTTTATTCTGGAGTGAAGATTATTAGCAAATGTATGAGGCATACAACATGCCAGTTGCTCTGTATCACTCCCCCCCCCATCACTCTTATTAGCTATAAAGCTGATACTTTGTTCTCCAACTCCTGTTGTTTATTTCTAGGTTGGCTGAGAACTTGAAAGGAGAGTAGGAGGTTATTATTATTTTTTTTAAAGATTTTATTTATTTATTTGAGAGAAAGAATGAGAGAGAGAGAGAGCATGAGAGGGGGTTGGGTCAGAGGGAGAAGCAGACTCCCTGCCGAGCAGAGAGCCCGATGCGGGACTCGATCCCGGGACTCCGGGATCATGACCTGAGCCGAAGGCAGTCGCTTAACCAACTGAGCCACCCAGGCACCCGAGAGTAGGAGGTTATTAATTGAGTCTCCTGAAACTGTTGCAACAAGCATGGTAGAAAGGTAGCAATTCAGGATGAGCAAAATCCAGGTAGATGGGTCAGAGGGTGGCTAGATGCCGGTCCACAGAGGAGGAGGCAGAATGAGGTAGTAGGTGGCATACCGGAATAAGAATTCAGGAACAGAGACAAGGCAAAAACCAAATAATCAGAGCACTTGGGGATGCTGGGGATGTGATCCTGTTGATGAGACCAGAGCTCATTGCTTAGCTTGTATCTTTAATCTTCTCTGCCAGGGTTCATGAACCATGAGGGGAACTCGGCTGCTCTAAATGACTTCAAATCTGTCCTGTTCCAGACAAGTTAGAGAACAGGTATACAGGTCAGGGCTCTATCAGTTACAAGGGATAGAACCTAGGGTGTCATAAAATGGAACTGTGGACTCATTGCCAGTAGGACTCTCTCTCCATCCAATTCTCAACACCCTTTGTCCCGCTTTTCTTTGCATGTTCATCTTATTCTCTCCACAGGCAGGCGTTTAGGACACTTTTAATCCCCCAGCACCTTTAATCCCCAAGTTTACCAATGTCAGCAGAAAGGGGTCTGTGTTCCCAGGAAGGACACTGATAGGTGCTGCCTAGACCTTATGCCCATTTCATGGCCCAGCATATAACAGGCAATCAGTAAATATTCTTGAATGAACGAATAACATCATCATGGCCCATGTGGTGGATATAGCCCCATTGTTATATATTAATAAATTGTAGTTGATGTTTCTATCTCGAGATCCTGGTTCATGTGCACGCACTTGCTTCCCAGAGATGTCTGCTCTTGGAGTGTTGAGGAAACAGTCTCTGAGCCTGCAAGGCTGAGAGTTTTGCTAAATTCAGCTCGGTTAGTAAATGCCACCCTGGGAGGTCTCCTGGACCACAGTCTGCTCTACTTTCTCAGGTATCAGTCTGGACTATGCTGTTGATGGAATTTATGCCTGTTGCTGTTTGAATCTTCACACTGAGAACTTAACTATGAAACATAGTTTTCAAACTTATTTTCACAGTATCATTGTGAAGTCATTGTCAGATAAGGTCTTACTGTCTCTATTCACTAACTAGGAAAGTCCAAGCATACATTGGGTAGGTTGCTATTTTCCAGGATTTCTTTTCCAGAATGTGAGCTCCTTGAGTATCCATGAAAATGGGTTCCATAGTCAATTATGTTTAGGAAACCTTTGATCGATTCACAATGCATGCTAGTATATTAAAGGTTCTGAAAGAAACTATAATTATGAAACCTATATGAACTGAGCTCATTTTAATGTTGAGCGAAAAGATTTTGCAAAACTATTGGATGCTAAACCTTCTTGCATCCATCTTCTCTTGTTCCCTCCTGTTTTCCCCGACTATCTCTTTCCACCTAAAACCAGTCCCTTCATCTATGCCCAGCATCTTATCTCCGCCCCCGCCCCCATCCTCAGGAATCTTCTTTTCTTTTTTTGCTGCAAGAAATCTTTTATTGTTTCCATTTGGTCCCAGGCTTGGGAGGGTTCCAGGGTGGTTAAAAAGCTGCAGGGAGGGGCACCTGGGTGGCTTAGTCAGTAAGCGTTTGCTTTCAGCTCAGGTCATGAAACCAGGGTCCTGGAATCGAGCCCCGTATTGGGCTCCCTGCTCCTCGGGAAGCCTACTTCTCCCTCTCCCACTCCCCCTGCTTGTGTTCTCTCTCTCGCTGTCTCTCTCTCTGTCAAATAAATAAATAAAATCTTAAAAAAAAAAAAGCTGCGGGGAGAAGTTTGGGCAGAAACCCTGACACCAGGGGGGTACCAAAGGGGCCACTGATCCCCCAAAGCACCTAGTTGTGCTTGCAGGTGAGCCTTATAGAAGGGATACTCACCCACCCAGCACGAGGGCCGGCCAGCCTGCAGAGGTGTGTCAGGTGGTTGACCATCTTCTTGATGAGTTTCACCTCCTCATCTAGGAAGCTGTTCTCTAGGAAGTTACAGAACCCACAGCATGCAGATCCAGAAGGGCCTGGTTCACGTTCTCCTCCTGGATCATAGCAGCTTCCCTGGCGTCCAAGCTTTTACCACACTTATCCTGGGATGGCTTCTGCGTGTCCCGGAAGAGGGCACGGCTCCTGCTCTTATGGTTCTCCTTGGCCAACTCCGGGAGTAAGCGGCGCACGTTCTCCAGAGCCACATCATTGGGTTGAAATAGAAGCCCAGAGAGAGAGGTAGGGATGGGAGGCCCACAGATGCGTGTTGACAGGTGGTTGACAGCGGCTTCCACCTTGCTGGTATAATTCTGACAAATCTGGGAGTTCATGGTTGGTTGGCAATAAAAAGCTATGCGCACACACACACACACACACTCACAACATTGTTGGCTGATCCCGGAGGCAGAGGATGGCTGAGACGATGGGATGGCTGGAAGAGAGGTTGGAGGGTGGTTGGAGGCTGAAAGAAGGCATGTCCCTGGGTCCCATCCAAACACTTGAAGCAAGAGATAGATCTGGGGGACTGCCAGGGTGCATCTCTTTATCTCTTTCAGGATCAACACCTTCTCCCTCCTGGATCTTTCCAGTCAGCATTTCCACAAACTCAAGAGCCTAAATCCTTGCTTTCAATGTGGTCAATGAAGCAGCATCCTCAACATCACCTAGGAGCCGGCTACAAATGCAGAATCTCAAGCTCCACCCCAGCCTGCTGATTGTCTGCAGTTTAACAAAATCTCCAGGAGATCTGTATGCACATTAATGTGCTCTAAACCACAACCAAGATTCTCTGGTAAAAATGCATATCACATCTTATCTAATCTCCACCAGAAACATCCTGTTCTCCCAGATTCTTTCCCACCCTCCCTCGCTTCCACTACTGCTAATTTCCTAAAATGAGTTTTCCAAGGACCCTCTTTGGTAAACACTGGGCAGTCATTTGTCCCAGCTTTGTGACAGCACCTGACTCCCTTGCCCTGTGAATTTTGCACTATGTGATCAGAGTACAGAGTCCACTTGAGGATTTTGAGCTCTGATTTGTTGCAGAAATGACATTCTCAGAGTCAGTCATTTTCCAGTTTGTTCTCAGGTATACTCTCCGCTCTTGCTATTGCAAGGGGCCCACCCTACAACTGTATTTCCAGGCTCCCTTGCCAACTGGGTGCTGCCAGTGGGAAGCACTGGCGGAAGATTGAGGGTGGGAGGATAGGAGTGTCTCCATGGAGGCGGCACCACTTTTGCAGTTCTGGTCCTGCTCCTGGACTCTATTAACACTGCCTCCTGCCCTTGGTCCTCCAGCTCCAGGGATCATAAGAGCTCCCTGCTCTTACCAATCTCTCTGTGGCCTCACCATCCCTTGTTTGGGTTTTTGATTTTCCCAGTACTTACATAACTAGTTCCCTACACCTGTGATGGCTTATGCTTTCCTGAGTGACTACTCTGACTGATACATGGAAGTATCAGAAAATGGAGTTTGGGGGAGGGAGAACATTTGAGAAATAGGCAAATTCTTTTTTTCTTTTTTTTAAAGATTTTTATTTATTTGAGAGAGAGAGAGGAGGGACAGAGAGAGAGAGGGAGAATCCCAAGCAGATGCTGGCCAAGCACAGAGCCCAATGTGGGGCTTGATCCCATGACCCCAAGCCCATGACCCAAGCTAAGAATCAAGAGTTGGACACTCAACCAGTTGAGCCACCCAGGACCCCTAGAGAAACAGGCAAATTCTACTTGACTCGACAGAAAACCTTGAAGTCCAGGCCCACGCAATGGGGCCCAGGAGGCAATGACAGCATATTTGTGTCATGAGTTCTTACCTACCATCACTCCAATAGTACATTCCTTTGAAAGCTAATGTCCTCTACTCTGGGGCGTGTGGGAAAGTTTTATGAATAGGGAAAAGGGCAGTTACAGAGGACAGTCAATCTCCCTGCACATGAGTGACTCTGGTTGTAAGTCACAAATAAATCAGTGCTGTTGTGTAGTTGCCTGGGGCGGGGTCAGAGGAGTTGTCTCACAACAGAAACCTCTTCATCTGGGAACAGGTTGGGAACAACTCTTTTGGCTGCATGCGTAACCGGTCTGGGTTGGACCAGCTGCTGAGTTGTCATAGTTGGTGGTTGGGGCCTATTGTCAAATGTCAATATTTTCACAATCATCCCACATTGCCGAGCTACAGCTCGCCCTGGCATCTGTCCCTTGGCCCTGGGAGGACAGGCAATTCTTTCATACATAATGGGAAAAGATACAAGAGAGACTGTCTTTTTCTCTCAAAGACTGTTAAAGTAGAAGGCCAGTGCGCTCTGAATAATGCCCTTTCAAATGGAAGAAGAATAGAATTCTAGAATCACATACTCCTGGAACAGTTAGAGATGGCAATTTACTGAGTATGTTTTTTGCAAGAAGATTCTGTAATGAAATGTAAGCCTCAAAGTCAGAAATAGTGTATTTACTCAGAATATTGCATGTTTGTATGTGTATGTATATGTATGTTATCATCCTTCAAGTGTCCCATGATCAAGATGACAATTATACCATGCCTGGAAATATAGACAGAGCTAAGGCTGAGAGTGCAGGGCAGGTAGGAATTGCACGCATAAGGACGCTCATCAACCAAGGTGTTTCTCCATTCCTTTTCCTCTGGAGGTTAAACCAGGAACTGCCGGTCTTGGGCACTCCCCTTGGAGAGCTGCTGAACAGGTGTGTGGGGCATAGTCTAAGGTGAGAGCACTCTGTGGGAAGGAATGCTTCTTTACCTTTCACAAGCTGAAGACACAGCTTAACCTGGAGGTGGGGCAGTAGAGATTTTGGCTGAGACTAGAGGCCCCAACTATCTGCCCCGTGTGAGGAGAGGTGATCCGACACACTCCTGGCTGCCATGGGAATCATGGAGGGCAGTTGGGGGCCCTGGTAGCAGGTGGGCACACATGGTTTCTCCTCTAAAAGTCTAAAAGGTGCAGCCGGGAGCATCCCAGCCCCTCACAAATGTGGGACACTTGTTCTTTTGTCCCTGAAACTCAGGCCTCATTCTTTTTAATAATGCCTCATTGACTTTGATTTTATTCATCTCTTCCTATAGGAGCCTCATTCCTGCAAACCCTGGTTAAGATACATATCCTTAGCTTTTGTTGAAAACAAATTTCCATGGTTAAGAAAATGTCAGTTAAAAAGTATTTTTTTAGTGTTGGTTTTTTCGTTGTTTGTTTTTGGTTTTGTTTTTTTAGATCTAATTGGCTTTATTAAGCAATTCATGAATCGGGCGGAATCCCATCTAGCAAATAGAGAGATGCTCCCTAGCTCTGATTTTCTTAAATTACAAGTGTGATCCTTTACAAATTGATGACAGAAAAAGCTTGATAGTTTATGATCCCCTTCCTTCTTCCTAAGGAGGCGGTCCCTAATCAACCAGAAGTTCTTCTGTTTGCTCAGTTCCAAATCAACTTCCCTGTAGCAATTTGCCTCTCCTGCCCCTGAGGACAGAGTTAAGTGTTAGATGTGGGAATGCAAGATTAGAGAGGTGGGACAGAGGGGGCCCTACTTCAGGAATGAGACAGAAATGGCTGGAGGCCCAGGCCGAGGAAGCTGAGCCAAACCGGGCTGACCTATGCAGGGGGAGATTAAGACATCCACCCAGACGGCAGCAGATAGGGTGGTTTGGGGAGAAAAGATACGTTTAATAAAATGATTCAGAGTAAAATAGTGTGCACTAGAATGTGTAAACTGTAACCTGGGTTCTCCTTAGAAAATCTAGATTTTGGAAATTCTAGATTCTGAAGTGAAACATCCAGTTTTTGCTATTGCATAGAGAGGAGTCTGTTTTCCTTTGGAGAGTCAGTTGAAGTATATATTGTTCTGAGATATAGGCAGGAAGGGGACAGTGCCTGCCTCTGGGGCTCATCCACATGGCTATATATAAAATATATATATGTATATTATATATACATTTTAAATATTCAAAACATACAGAAACACACAAAGTAAAAAGTGAAATTCCCCCCACCCCCCGTTTTGATGAATTATACTGTTCAGGGTTAACCCATCCACAACTAATAGTTTGGTGTGTATCCTTAAGTATTTTTCCTAAGCATTTGTGGACACATACACGATTGATTAATTATTTGGTTCAAAAAGAATTCGAGGTTGAAAACAATTTCCCTTTAAAATTGTGAAGATAGTGTTCCATTGCCTACCTCTTTCTGAACGTGTTAAAAGTAATTTTTGGATAGTTAATACATGCTTGGGATATGAATTCAAAAGATAGAAAAGCATATGAAAGTAAATGTCCTCACCATTGATACTTCCAGCTGCTTAGTTTTCTTCACTTAGTTTCCTTTCCTTCACGTCATTGGTTTTTTTATGTATCTTTTGAGATGTATTTTGTGATATCTATGCCTTTATAAATATATATACATGCATATATGTAGAAACATATGAAATTACCATTTTGAAGTTAAAAAATCAGCAATTTCATGAGACTCAACATAACATATATGTGTATACAAATACAAATTTTTTCGAAGATTTTATCTATTTCCTAGAAAGAGAGAGAGTGCATGAGCAGGGGAAGGGCAGAGGGAGAGGGAGAAGCAGACTCCTCGCTGGGCACAGAGCTGACGTGGGGCTCAACCCAAGGACCCCGAGACCATGACATGAGCTGAAGTCAGACACTTAACTGACTGAGCCATCAGGCGCCCCACGAATACAATTTTTTTTTAAAGATTTTATTTATGCATGAGAGAGAGAGAGAGAGAGAGAAGCAGAGGGAGAAGCAGGCTCCCAAGGAGCAGGGAGTCCGATGTGGGACTCGAGCCGAAGGCAGACGCTTAACCATCTGAGCCACCCAGGCGCCCACGAATACAATTTTTAATGCCATTAAAAGTAGCATGCTGTATGCGGTGTAGTGCACTTTGATACCTCACGTAACAAAAAATCTTGAGATCTTCCCACATTCGTATGTATAGAGCTGCCTCATTTTTTAAAAATCTTTTGTGCCTATTATTTTCATGGTAAACTATTTAATTATTTTAAAACTTACATACAGTAAAATTGAATTTTACTTTTGGTATACAGTTCTCTGAGTTTTAACGTATGTGTAGATCTGTATACCCACGACCATCATCAGGAAACAAGTATTTCAAGCATATCCATGTAAGCACTACCAATAGCAAAGATAGAGTGCTACCCTCAGGTACCCTAGGATCTTCCCGCAATCTCCCCTCCTTGTTGCAGTGCCTTTTCTACACCCCAAGACAATATTTTCCTTGACTTCCAATGCCATAGATTAGTTTTGCCTGCATGGAATCAGGCAATTCAGGCAAATCAGGCATGCAATCAGGCAAATAGTATACATTCTGTTGTTTGCCTTCTTTTGCTTAACATTATATAAGATTCATTCTGTTGCCATGTGATTACTACAGAGCAATGCATTGCACAATATTTCCTTATATTATGGCATTTTTTGACATGCAGAATTAAGAAAAAACATATAGATTGATAAATTCAACTTTGTTTATTATAATGGTTTCTGTGTTTGTGTTATACTTAAAAAGAAGGCCTTTACCACTCCAAGATTATAGAATAAAATATTATAGAATAAACCATCCCATGTTTTCTTCTAGTGCTTTAATAATTTCATTTTGTAGGTGTGAGGAATGAATCCAACTTTTTTTTTCTTCAAGATACTGACTTATTATCCAACTACTTCTTTAATCCTCACAGGAAATTTATGATGGATATAATTATGTGTCTTCATTTTGCAGATGAAAAACTGAAACAGGGGCACCTGGGTGACTCAGT